CACACACACACACACACACACACACACACACACACACACACACACACCACACCACACCGCATCACACCACTCGTGCACACACGCACGCACGCACGCACGCATGCGCAAGTACCACCGATGCTCACCCAGTTTGCAAACCAGGATTTGAGCTCTCTCTTTGATCGGTTTGTTTTCATATTCAAATGACAACATGTTCTTACGAGAAAGCGGTCACAATTGCTACGTTGCCGTTGGGGAAGGCGAAATGCAGAGCGTTTGCATTTTGCTCTACTCAGGGCACAGAGTGTAGAACTCTCCGTGCCCGGCACTGAGGACGCTGGCCGCAAGAAGTTTTGGTCTTTTACTGATTCCTGAAGCTCAAGGGCAAAAGGGAACCTGGACTTTTCATTTTAAGATGTAGGCAGAGAGAAGCACGTGAAAACGTTCTAATATAATTATACAGATGATTTCTAGAATTGAAATTATGTATATATTTGTTTTTCAGTACCTTGAAGAGAGCCCTTGATGTCTTCAAGCAGCGTAAGTTAATTATTGAAGTTATTTTATTTTCCTTTATGTGTATGGGTATTTTGCCCACATGTATGTCTGTGTACCATGTGTATGCCTGGTATCCACAGAAGCCATAAGAGGGCATCAGATCCCCTTGAGCTGGAGTTATGGTGGTTGTCATGGGAGCTGGGAATTGAACCTGGATCCTCTGGAAGAGTAGCCAGTACTCTTAACTGCTGAGCCATCACTCCATCCCCTGGTGTAAAACTGTATTTCCTGTCCTTGGCAAGCTCCGTGTCTTTCTTCTACGGCAAGTTCTAATTTGAACAGTAATTGGGTTAAAAAAAAAACTTTAGAACAACCATAGAGTGAGAACTAGCTCTGCAGAGTAGCCGCCTGGCACTGGGAGAGCTGTGGGTCACCCAGGTTCATGGCCATTGCGTGTCTGGCTCAGGGTGTTTGGAGGGGGGCCAGGGATTCTACATGCTCTCAAGTCCCAAATGGGAATGACACCGTGCAAGAACATCCTGTCCTACCCGAACTCAGAGACTCAACACTTCCGTTTTTCCTTATTAAAATAAGTGTATAAAATATTAAATATAATGTAATTTAATGTAACATTTATAATTAAATGTAATATAATATTTACTGTTAAAGTGAGACAGAACACAGTGAACACTGAAATTTGTATTTCTCAACGTAAAGTAGTTCTTGGTGATTATTTTGTGTGGCATTTAAATGTATTTTATTTTTAAATGCATTTAGATACATTTATATAATAAATATGTGCCTATTCATATACATAAGTATTAACATATTATGAAAGTGGTTTAGGGGGCTGGAGAGATGGCTCAATGTTTAAGAGCACTGTCTGCTCTTCCTAAGGGCCTGGATTCAATTCCTAGCACCCTCACGGCAGCTCACAACTGTCTGTACTGCCAATTCCAAGGGATCTGACACCTTCACACTAATGCACATAAATTAAAATTTAAATAAATTATTAAAAAAGAAAGTGGTTCAGAGTCTCTTTGGGTTGGCTCTTTCTGAGTTTGTGTGTACATCAACTCTGTTGTATCATCCACCACCTCTGGCCCTTAAATCTTTCAATCCCCAATCCCACATAGATCCCAGACCCCCGGGAGAGAAGAATGTGGTACAGACACCTCACTTAGGGCTGGGCATTTGTGGAAGTGTTTTCTTAAAATATAGCTCTTTGCTATTTGATATATAAGTTGCTAACTTTGTTTCATGTTTGTGTGTGTATCTTCTAGCTTTCAAGGTTATTTTTTTAAAAAGATTTATTGTTATGTATACGGTGTTCTGCCTGCATGTTTGTCCGCATGCCAGAAGAGGACACCAGATCTCATTATAGATGGTTGTGAGCCACCCTGTGGCTGCTGGGAATTGAACTTGGGACCTTTGGAAGAGCAGCCAGTGCTCTTAACCTTTGAGCCCTCCCTCTAGCCCTTTCAAGGTTATTTTAACAGTCCAAGTTAAAGCTTTTTTCTTAATGGCCTGGAGGGATGGCTTAGTAGGTGCTTGTCAAGACCCAAGTTCCTATCCCTGGAACACACATAAAATCAGACATGATGGTGCCTGTCTGTGATCCCAGGCAGAAGCAGAATTCTCTGACGCTTATGGGCTGAGCATCGTGGTGTGCGTAGTGTCAAAATCAAAAAGAGATCCTGTTTCAAACAAGGTGGAAGGTGAAAACCAATGTTCAAATTTGTCCTCAAATTTGTCCTCTGACCTCCACACGTGTACTCTGCACATACACATGTGTGTTTCTGACTTACACAGAAAATGCACACACACGATTTTTAAAAAATTAATGTTTTGCTGGTTGTGGTGTCGCATGCCTTTAATTTCAGCACTTGGGAGGCAGAGGAAGGCACATCTCTGTGAGTTGAGGCCAGCCTGGTCTACAGAGCAAGTTCCAGGACAGCCAAGGCTGCTACATTTAGAAATCCTGTCTCTAAACACACACACACACACACACACACACACACACACACACACACACACTAAAGTTTTTTTATAGGTCAGTCTTTCTAGCTTTAATGGCATGCTTCAGCTTGCTTGTTTCTGTCTGTGAAGGTCTGGCTGTCCTGGAACTCACTACGTAGATGAAAAGAGCCTTGCATCTGTCTCAGCTTCCCAAGTGCTTAGAGTAAGGGTGTACACAAACCACACCTATCCTAGTCTGGCTTTTCCCTTTCTGTTATAAAGATAAGTAAGTGTCAGAGGCCAAAATGTTGCATGAACTTTTGATAAGTGTTTAAGCTCATGAGCTGGAAAGCACCCCGAGATCGTGCAGAGAGGACAGGGAATCTAATTTGAACTCGTGGTGCTCTGAGTACTGCTCTCGTTCTTCTTGCTACGATAAACTATCCTGACAAAGGTCAATTAGGGAATAAGAGTTTACAGCTGACAGTTACAGGCTGCAGCCTGTCATGACGGGCAAGTCATCATACCCATAGGCAAGAGCAGAGAGGAATGGTCCTTACGTACTTGCTTGCTTGTGCCCAGCTGGATTTCTCCACTTTTTAAGAGTTCAGGAACCCCCTGACTGGCAGAATGGTGCTGTCCACAGTAGGTTCGGTCTTTCCACATCCATTAACCTTAGACAACCACCCACAGACATGACCATAGGCCAGCCCGGTGTAATCAGCCCCTACACCCAGACTCTCTTCCCAGGGGATTTTAGGTTACGTCAAGTTGATAACTAAAGCTAAGTTCTCAGGAGGTAAGGCTATTTACTGAATGGGAACCTTGGCCACATCCCTACCCCAAGCCCCAGCCCTGGGCATACACTGGGTTAGTAGCAGTTAGTGGCAAGAGGCTGAGCTAAAGACTTAGCCTTGGTCTTGGTGGCCAGGGCCATGCTAGGCAGAAGGACCTCAGCGGGTGTTGGTGACCAAGAGAATTATTCTTAATTTTGCTTTTTCCTCCAGATTTGTATGTGCGATTTTGAATAGTTGTGTGTATTGAGTTTGGCACATGTGGACCTTGACTGTTTTATTTACAAATCCTTTCTACAGAAGTAGACAACGTGGCCCAGTGTCACATTCAGCTTGCACAGACTCTCCGAGACGAGGCCAGGAAGATGGAAGAATTCAGGGAAAAGCAAAAGCTACAGCGGAAAAAGGTTAGTTTTGTGCATGTGTTAAAATAGCACCCTTCTGAAGAAAAATCTCAGGCATGTCTGTTACTAAGTTGCTCAATTTGCTGGGCGTGGTGGTGCCTGCCTGCCTTTAATCCCAGCACTTGAGAGGCAGAGGCCATCAGAGCTTTGTTGAGTTTGAGGTCAGCTTGGTCTACAGAGTGAGTTCCGGGACTGCAGGACAGCCAGAGCTGTTTGGTGACTTAAAGGGGTCAAGAAATAGGTCCTGGTTTGTATTATAATTTTTTTTTTTAAACCAGAGCAGCCAGAACTCTGATACCTTTTTATTTTGTTCCTGGAAAACTTGCACATGCAGGTTGACCTGTTAGCCAGGGAGAGCCTTTCAAGAATGAATGTCTTTCAAGACTGGAAAGCTGTCTGGTCCCTATGGGCAATTGGGGACCTGTCATGCTTCCTGGAGGCCCCTGTGGAATCCTTCCTGTATCCCAGCTTTTGCCTGTAGCTGATGCTCTTTCTGCAGTCTGTGCCCATCCATCCACAGCCAGTATTAAGGCCGACTGGACCCTACCCTCTCGAGATGAGCAATTTGGCCTGCAGCTTCAGGTTGGAGTTTGGGTTGCTACGAGTGTGTCAGGTTGCCCGCATCATCTTAAGGACCTGCCTGTCTTAAGGCTGCCATAATTTCATGAGCTGCTTTTTCCATTTGTTGGAAACAAGGTCTCATAACTGGTGGTCTCCAACTCACCATATAGCTGAAACTCCTGCCTCCACCTCCCAAGTGCTGGGACTAGAGACAAATGCTGCTATGCCCAGCTTAAGAGCTGCTCTTGGCACATCACTGCCTTTTCCTATTTCTTGGCCAGTGCTTGTGCAACGCCTGCTACCGTGAAGGAAGAGCAGATGCAGTCAGTTAAGGAACGCCATAGCAAAACCTTTCACATGTCCTCTCAAGCTGTCTCCCATCTGAGGGTGCATCTATACCAAAGTCTTTTTTCAAGCAGAATTATCATGTGTTCTATGCTCATTGGATAACAAACCCTTTTGTTTGACATTGGCAGGCCTGCCTTTTTTTTTAAAAAAGGAAATTATAGGGTTTTTTTGTTGTGTTTTGAGATGGGGTCTCCCTGTGTGGCCCTTTTTGCTCTATAACTATGTATTCAGGCTGGCCTCTAACTTGTGTCTCTGCTGGGACTAAAGGCGTGCACCACCACTGCCTGGCTTATTTTAAATGCTTTTAACCGAAATAAAATTTCATCACTCCCCGCTCCCTTTCTCCCTCCAGTCTCTCTTAGCTGCCTACCTCGGACCCCTTCCTTGTCCCCGTCCACAAAGAGTTATTCTTTAGTTTTTAACTATGTGGACACATGTGTGTCCATGTATGGATTTGTGCACATGTATGCAGGTGCCCATGGAGGCATGGCATCTCCTGGAACTGGAGTTACAGGGGTTTGTGAGCCGCCTGGCGTGGGCACAGGAACCAAGCTTCGGTTCTTTAAACTAACTTCCTTCCTTCCTTCCTTCCTTCCTTCCTTCCTTCCTTCCTTCCTTCCTTCCTTCCCTCCCTCCCTCCCTCCCTCTTTCCCTCCCTCTCTCTCTCTTTCGTTCTTTCTTTCTCTCTTTCTCTTTCTTTGTCTCTCTCTCTCTCTTTTTCTTTCTTTCTCTCTTTTCATGGTCTTTTTGCATAGCCCTGGCTACACAGACCATGTTGACCTGGTATCCATAGAAATCCACCTTCTTCTCCCTTTGGAGTGCTAGGATCAAAGGCGTGCACTGCTACACCTGACTGAAATGACAGCAGAATAACTCGGAGGTTGGAACGATGGCTGATGGCTCAACAGTTGAGGGTGTACTGCCATTGCAGGGGATCTGATTTCTCAGCATCCATTGTAGATGTCACAACCACCTGCCACTCAGCTCCTGGGGCACACGATCCTTCTGGCCTCAGTGGGCATGCACATTCTCACACACAGACAGGCACAGACATAAAATTAACAAAAAAAAAGTAGAAGCCGGGTGTGGTGGCATCAGCCTTGAGCACCCTGGAGGCAGAGGCAGACTGGTTTCTGTGGATTCAAGGCTAAGGCTCATTCCAGGCCAGTGGGAGTTACCTAGTGAGGTCTTGTCTCAAAAGGACAGAAAGAAAAAAAGTTTAAAATGTTAAGGAGCTATCATGTCTGGTGTGGAACAGTTAAAAAAATTTAAAAAGAAGCATAATGTCTCAGTCAACTGGGCTCTGCATACATGATTCCGCTAAACAAGGGTTGTTTCCTCACACCCTAGGGTGTCGATAGTAGCGCTGGCTCTTGCAGGGAGACCTGGCAGCTCTGCAAGGCTTCTGGACCACTACTGCTAACGTTACACAGAGCCCGTGGCTGGCCTCAGAACAATAGATCAGCTAGAGTTCAATACAAGTCCATTGTCAGCAGTAGGCACTTTTGAAACGTTGAAAAGTCCAAAGTTTATTAAGAAAATTGTAGTTATGTGTTTCACAATAAGCTCTGGGAGACTTTGAGTAACCTATTTTTTTTTAAAAGAACATATTTTTTTGTGGGGGGGTTGTCAATGCTAACTTCCTCTTTAAAAATTGTTACACTGCATGCTCTGGTCTTCCCTTTCTTGGAAATAGAGCTATTTCCACTCATCAAAGGAACTAGTCAGCTGTTTTCTTTTTTCTTCTTTTTATCTCACGCTGCTGGTTGAATCCAAGATCTTGGTTAGGCTATGCAAGTACAGTATTATACTTGAGCTGTGTCACCACACATAATTTACTAATTTATTTGAAAAAGATTTATTTGCTTATTATTTATACAGTATTCTGCCTGCATGACAGAAGAGGGCACCAGATCTCATTATAGATGGTTATGAGCCACTATGTGGTTGTTGGGACTTGATCTCAGGACCTTTGGAAGAACAGGCAGTGCTCTTAACCTCTGAGCCATCTGTCAAGCCCCAGTGATTTATTTTTTTAAAGCTCAATACATTTTTATGTAGAATGTTTTCTGCCTTTAATTTTTTTTAGATTTAAAATTGTTTTATCTTTAAAAACATTGAAAAAAAAATAGTTACTCAAAGTCACCCAGAGTTCATTATGAAACATGTAACTACAATTTTCTTAATAAACTGTGGACTTTTCAAAAGGTGTTGTAGTTCAAGCCTTTAATCCCAGCACTTGGGAGGCAAAGGCAGGTAGATCTCTGTGAGTTCAAGGCCAGCCTGGTCTACAAAGTGAGTTTTACAAAAACCAGAGCTACAAAGTGAGACCCTGTCTCAAAAAACAAAACAACAACAACAGAAAATCTTTATCTTCCATCTGTGTGTCTTATCTGCATATGTTTTCATACTGTGTGTGTATACATTAGGCTTGTGATGTATGTGTGTATATGTGACAATCAGAGGACAACGTGTAAGAGTTGGTTCTCTTCTCCCACTGGGTCCTGGGGATTGAATTCACGTTAGCAGCCTTGGCAGCGAGTGTCTTTATCTACTGAGGCAGATGACTGGATCCATAATTGATTTCTTTGGTAAACTGAGGCACAGGAGCTGTGGGAAGGATGTTTAGCTGCTCCCTTCTACAAGCAGTGCTTTCTGGAGGATGAGGACCAAGATGGACATACTATCCTGCCACTAAGCAGGCAGACTGATGTACAGTAAAATGAGGATGGAGTATGAAGAGTCTTACACAGTGGGAGGGGCAGGGAAAGTTCCTTCTGAACACCTGCTATGGACATGTGGCCTCACTTGGGGTTGTTGAAGCCTTCTGGAGGAAGTCATCCTTATGCTAAAGCAGGCAGTTAAAGGCTGCCGTTGAGGTAATGAAAGGCTTGCCTCTCATTTCTGGGGGTAGGCAGGGCAAGGAGGAGGCTTTTGGATCTCATTCTCAGTAATCTACCTCAGAATTACTTGGGTTCTTCTCAAATCTCTTACTCCCTTTCCCTTTTATCTTCGTTCTTCCACCTAATAGATGAGATAGTTGAGCTTTTGCAGCCCCTGTGTTATCAATAATAAATACATTCACATTAGATTTGGTCTGAGCATAAACCCGAGTCCTGGAAGAACATCTCCTCCAAAAACATCTTCAGGAGAATTTAATGTCACCGAGGTCACCATGAGTGGGTCACCCTGGAAGTCAGCGTGGACACCTGGAGACTTAGGTCAAGGCTGCTTAGCAGATAGAGATGGAGCTGCCACCACTAACTCCCTGAGTGGGCTTGAGCAGTGCACATCACCCCAGGGCCTGGAAATTCCCCGTGTCTGCTTACAGTCAATGGCTGCTTTTTAGGATCTTGGCAGTTTTCAAGTGCTGGTAGACTTGTGAAGACAGAGGGGGAATTCCGGGAAATGAAGAGGTAGTGTAAATCTCTCAGCACCTGACAGGTGTCTAAAGTAGATACCATGCAGAACTTGGAGATGAGGAGACATGTTGGGCTATCAGAAACTAGTAGCAACCATTAACTAGATGTAGCAAAGTGGATATTTGAACTGAAAGGGCCAGGGCAAAGCCCAGCATGGCCAATTGATCTGCATAAGTAGCCTAGGAAAACCAGCTGTAATTATTAGAGAGAAACTCTCGTTGGAGGAGGAACCTAGTCAGCTACATGGCACCTGTGGCCTGCCATGTGGGAGCCATGTCTGTCTGCAGCATCTTCCTCATTAGCTTTCTGAGAGGGCCAGAAGGTGAATCCTGGGTTCCCTGAAGCTCCCCGAGGAAATTTTATTTATCCCATTTGAAGTGAGACCACCCTAAGTATTTTGTCCCCTTATCCTGAAAATCCATCTATGCTTGTCTGTTATGGTGATACCTAAAAACTTAAATTTTTATTTAAGTAGGAACTGCATTTGTATTTCATATTCATTAATACATAATTAAACTCATTGGTGAAAATGTCAGGTTTTTTTTTTTTTTTCAAGACAGGGTTTCTCTGTATAGCCTTGGCTGTCCTGGAACTCACTCTGTAGACCAGGCTGGCCTTGAACTCAGAGATCAGCCTGCCTCTGCCTCCAAGTGCTGAGGATAAAGGTGTGCGCCACTGCTCAGCTATGTCAGCTTTCTTATTTGCTGACTATCTTAGTTGCTTTTCTACTGCAGTGCAGACACCATGAATAAAAAACTTACAGAAGAAAAGGTTTATTGCTGCTTACAGCTTTACAGGGTGATTCCTGACTCATGGCAGGGAAGGGAAGATGGCAACAGGAAGACAGGCATAGCAACTGCAGCAGTAGCTGATGCTTACTGTTGAGACAACCGTGAGGCTGTGAGAATGTAATTGGGAATATTGTGGGTTCAAAGCCCAGTCCCAGTGACACACCTCCTCCAAACAAGGCCACACCTCCTAATCCTTCCCGAACAGTTCCGCCAACTGGGCACCATGCAGTCACATATGTGAGCCTATGGGGGTCATTCTCATTCAGACCCCAACACTGGCTTTGTTTCTTTGGGCTCACAAAGTCCATTGCCATCAGAAAAATGGAGATGTCGCGCTTACACAGAAATGGTAGCTTTATGAAACTGATGAAGTGCTGGATAAATGAGAGCCAGAATAATTGTGTCTGAGTGGCAGGTATTTATTATAAGTAATATGTATTATTATTTTTTACTAACAAATGGACAGCCGTTATAACTACAGTGAAGAAACTGCTCAAGTGAACTATGTGGAGTTTGCCTTGCTGGGTTACATGATTTGGAGGATTGTGGAGCAGTTTCTGTTAGCAGTGCTACAAACACTTCCTTTGCTCTCTGGCAACTTGTAAAACATTTCTGAAGCTAGCACTCCGTGGTGACTGGTGGGTTTCTGGTCATGTCTTGAGTGTTCAGGACTGGGTGTGTGAGTGCCCAGGTTAGCAGTGTGCCTAGCCAGTGGTGAGCTTTGGAGCAGAGGTTAGCCTCTGTTCCGTACAGTCCTCATTTGTGAAGTGGGGATAGTAAATAGCACATCTGGATTCTGGGTGATGTGAGGGTTAAACTGGGTAACCCCGTGTTGAACGCTTAGCCCTCATGACAGGCTGCTGTTAGCAGTACTTGTGGTTTCTATTGACAGTGCTTGTGTTCTCTTCACAGACAGAAACTATAATGGATGCTGCCCACAAGCAAAGGAACTCGCAATTCAAGAAAACCATGGACGTGAGTCCCATTTGCTACGCTGTCTTTGTAACAGTGACATTATCTGACATTCCGTACTGTGCACGAACATGTTCCTACTCAAATGATGGTTTGTCAGTGTGGTGTGAAGGGAAACACATGCTTTTCTTCCTGTTAAGGCCTTGGGAAGCTTGAAGATGGCCGAGTGTGGGCACAGTGGTGCTTTGTCCCTGGTGAGCTGGTGCAGAACTCTGTCCTCTGGGCATGGCATGGCTATCGCCTTCTAAGTCAGAGTAGCTGTGCCTACCAACATCCCTGGCAAATCTGGCCCCAGTAACATTCTCTCCTGCAGGAGAGGGAGATTCACAGGGCAGCAAATGAGTGACAAGCAGGATAAGGGGCCTCACACACAAAGCCATGCCTTCAACAAGGACAAATGGGTAGATGACCGCTCTGGGGATGGGAGACTCTTCCTTTGTGGTGTAGTAGGTGTCCATGCTTCTATGCGCACACACATACACACACGTGCATTCATGTATATATGCATGCACATATGCACACATGTATGCATACACACACACAATAGACTTTTCGTGAGTCTGTTAGTGCTCAATACAACAGACTCTTCTCTTAGAATGTACGCCGCTGCGTGGAAGATGATCCATGACTGACATAGCGTTCAAAGGGTCGCTCTGAGGATGGCACGTGCAGGTCGTTCTTCGGCTTGCTCTTTTCTCGATGGAAACCACATCAGAGCATTTGGTCAGGAGGGAATGCTGCCTGTAGAGTGCTGAAATAGTGCTGGGAGTGTGTTGTTGTTGTTATTAATTATTTAGAAATTATTTTTAGAGACTTAGTTCTAAAGAAAATTCATCTTTTAATTGTTTCCTCTACCTATATTTAGACTTTTGTTTATGCTAGTCAGCTTTGTGTTGTGGTAAAACCTCAGAGAAAACAACTTAAGAGGAAGAAAGGCTTGTGGTCTCCGGTCCGGAGGCTGCTGTCCATGGTGGCTGGCTACTGAAGGGAGGGCACTGTGCTGCAGAGTGGGTGGTAGAACAAGGCTGCCTGGGAAGCAGGAGAGCGGGAGGAAGGGGAGCGGACAGGATGCAGCCCCCAGGACCCGCCGCCTTCCAAAGCAGCCCACCAATTACGAACTCCTTAATGGGTTAACTCAGGATGAGGTCAGAGCTCCCATGGTGTAATCACTTCCCCCAAAGTGTTATCTCTGAACATTGGTGCATTTTAGATCAAACAGGAGGATCTGGGCCAAAGCAAACATTATCCTTAATTGTTTTTGCTTCCACCAGCAAAATAATTTTTAAAAATTAAGGGAAAATGTCAAAATAATTTTGAAATTTTGTGTTTGACATTTTCCCTCCCACTGCTGTAGTTTCTAGTCTTCTTTCTAGGACAAAACACTCTGCCCGAAGCAACCTGAGGACAAACAGGTTTATTTCCTGTCATAGTTCATTAGCCCATCATGGTGGGGGAAGTTAAGGCTGAGGAGCCTGAAATGGCTGGTCACAAAGCACGTGCTGTCAGGAGGAAGAGCCGTGAATGTCTGTGCTCAGAGCGCTCTCTCATTCTTATACAACCCCAGACCCACCTAGGGAATGGTGCTACCCACGGTGGGGGCCCTTTCTGCCCCAGTTAACCTGATGAAGACAGTCCCCAAGGGCAGCCCAGAGGCCCAGGCCCCTGGCAAGTCTAGATCTTATAAAATTGATGATTGGGGTTAGCCATCACACTAACCATGCCATTTCTTTTTTTTTTTTTTAACGTTCCACTGTTTCTTTTGGTATAGTTTCATTTTGTGTAGAGAGCCTTTTAGCCTCAGAATAGGTCTACTAGTGAACATTTTACTAAAAAACTACTTACTAGAGTTGTTTACAAGATGAGGGACTAGTCACAGGAGCATGCACACCTCACCAGTTGCTCCACCATTGAAGAACACACCTCTGCCTGCAGCAACCCCTAACTGCCCATGGCTCCTTAAAACATGGAATCTTGCGATCTACTCCCCACTCCATGACAGCATGAGCCCAGTCTTACACAGGCCTTGTGCAGGTAATCAAGGCTGGTGTAACCGTTAGTGAATGGGCAGGTCAGTGACATTCAATGTATTTATAATGCAGTGCAGCCACCATCACCGTTCATACCCAAACCTCTGGTCTACATAGTGAGTCCAGGACAGCCAAGGCTACGCAGAGAAACCTTTTCTCAAAGGAAGGAAGGAAGGAAGGAAGGAAGGAAGGAAGGAAGGAAGGAAG